TTTTTTTTCATCTTTATTATAAGGGACGATCTGAAGAAAATATGAGTGGGTTCTTTTGTGGTTTAGTGACATGTACCATAAATCTTGAAGGGTTTGACTCTTCTTCTTGTTTTATTGCTTGCTTTAGTCTTGTTTTATTGCTTGCTTTAGATATTTTGTTTCTCATTTAGTGGTGTCTTGCTTGTAAAATGAAGGTCAACTTAATCATTCATGTGGAGAATTTTGAGGCCACTATAACTAACTGCACACACATTTTTGTTCATTTGAAGGGGCAGAAGGAGAAGAGTTTGAGCCTATCAAGTCAAATTTGTCCCTGTAACTGTAAGAACATTATGTTCTTTTGTGAGTATTTAAGTTCGAACAAGTTTGGGGATGTTAAGGATGATATGTTCATCATACTTGTGAAATTTTAGATGTCATGTAGCTCAACTGTTTTGTGTGTTGTTTATGTACTTTGTTTTTTCGAATATGATTTGGTTGGATTATGAAATCAAACAAACAACTGCAGCCCTTTCTGGAAAAAAAAAGAAACAAAACAAAAATGATGAAGTGTTCAATCTGTCTAACATAGAGCCATGAAGAGTTTGCAAAGACTATCATGATTTATTGATTCATATCTATTGGGAAATGCTCGTTGGTATCGTTCGAAAAGCATCGTCGTTTATTTCCCTTTCTGTTACTTCTCCTTATTGTTTTCAGTTCTTTGCTGCAAATTTATGTGCTTGGCTTCATGTATGATAATAATTTCTCCCCTTCTTTTCATCTGCTATATTCCAGAAAAAATCCCGGGAGCTCGCCTTTGCACTAACTGTCTCTCCTAATCAATCTCGATAACTGAAAAAAGAGAAAAAGAAACAAAACCATTATGAATGTCTGGCCCGATATCCATCCCCAAGATTGCCGATAAATCTCTCTCGTTGCCCGGTAGCACAGATTCTCTAGGCCCGAACAACAAAAGCCATTCAAATGGCGACACCTCTCACACTCAGCCAGAAACAAACTCCATCCAAGCCCAAAAAATCGTGCTCCCAAACGGCGACTCCTACACCGGACCACTCCTCGGGTTTTCTCCTTCGGGCCAGGGAAACTACTCCTGGCCCGACGGGTGCACATACACTGGCAGCTGGCAATCCGGTGCTCTCCATGGGTACGGAAAAGTTCAGTGGCCGTCGGGCTCGATTTACGAGGGAGAATTCTCGGGCGGATACATACACGGCCCGGGCACATTTACCCGACCCGATCTCACCAAATACGATGGACGGTGGAGATTGAATCTCAAGCACGGGCTCGGCTGCCAAAAATTCTCGAACGGGGATATTCTTGAAGGGTCGTGGATTCGTGGGACTCCCGAGGGGCTTGTTCGGTATTTGTGGGCTAATGGGAATGAGTACAATGGGAATATGAAGGGCGGGAAAATGTCGGGGAACGGGACGTTGACTTGGGTCAACGGGGATACTTACGAGGGAAAGTGGCTAAACGGGCTCATGCACGGGTTTGGAATGTACACTTGGGCTGATGGCGGGGGTTGCTATATCGGCACGTGGACTAAAGGATTGAAAGATGGGAAAGGCACGTTTTACCCGAAAGGGAGTAAAAGTAAGGCCCCACTCGATGCTCTGAGAAAACGAGGTCTTTTGTTGTCTGATTTGAGGATACAGAAGAACCAGGTCAATAATGCCAGGCTGGGAAGGAGGTGGAGTCTTGAGGTGTCGATCGAGAGGGTGTTGGGGAATGAAGAGACGTATGAGGAGGATGGGGATGGGATTAGTACGCCGATTTTGGAGAGGGAGTATATGCAGGGAGTTCTTATTAGTGAGATTGTTTTGAGTGATGTGCTGATGTCACCATTGTCGAAAAGGAAGCAAAAGAGGCTCGAGAAAGATATTAAGAGGGTGGGCGAACAGATTATCAAAGGGCACAGGAGTTATGATCTGATGCTGAGTTTACAGCTCGGGATCAGGTGAGTTTGTCGAGGAAATCACTTGCTTATCGAGTGTATGTATTCGGGGGGATTTCATTTTTAAACGCGTGTTTAGTTTATGGAAATTGTGGTGGGAGTTATTATTGAAGCCTTTTTTTTTTTCGTTTTCTGGATGTATGTATATTGCTTAGTGAAGTTGCAGAAAGTTTATTTTCTTGTGTGAGCAGATATACGGTGGGGAAAATTACTCCCATACATAGACGAGAAGTTAGGGCTGCCGATTTTGGTCCTCGGGCGAGCTTTTGGATGAGCTTTCCTAAAGAGGGCTCTCAACTCACGCCTCCACACCAGTCTGAAGATTTCAAGTGGAAAGATTATTGCCCCATGGTTTTCAGGTTTGTAGCAAACTTTTTGCACTCATCAACAACATCAACATACCCAGTAGATTCCCAACAGGTTGGGGTCTGGAGGGTCAGTTGTACGCAAACCTTACCCTTGTAATTTTAATTTTTATTGCTTTTCATGCCACTCGTGTTTGATTTTGCATTTATTATAGTTCTTCTTTTGCTTTCTCTACTTACCTAATGCGCGCGCGTGTGTTTTTTTTTTTTTTTTTTTTTCTTTTATAGGAATTTGAGAGAGATGTTTAAGATTGATGCGGCCGATTATATGATGTCGATATGTGGAAATGATGCCTTACGAGAGCTCTCATCTCCTGGAAAAAGTGGCAGCGTCTTTTTCCTATCTCAGGATGACCGTTTTATGATCAAGACACTGAGAAAATCCGAAGTAAAGGTTCAATATCTAGACTGAAACTCAGTACTTCGGGGAAAAAAAAATCTTTTTAAAGTAGGGGATTGATTTCATTATGAAACAAAGCTCACTATAAAGTGTTCAAGTATATTTTATTCATGATTGGCTTTATAGGTTTTATGAACATATTTAGATTATGACTTAGTGCATCTCTTAAAATCAAGATTCAATATTTTCATTTGCTAGTTTTTGTACTTACCTATGATATTAAAAATTGCAGGTTCTGCTACGCATGCTCCCGAACTATCATCTTCATGTACGCAGATACGAAAACACCCTCATAACCAAATTTTTCGGCTTGCACCGGATTAAACCTTCCAGTGGTCAAAAGGTAACACCTAAGTGTCTAATTTTATTGAAACAAAAACTATCTTTTATATGAAATATGAACCAAGTAAATTCACTTATACCAAGTCATGTTTCTTATTTGACATACCTTTCACACTATTGCAGTTTCGTTTCGTGGTAATGGGAAATATGTTCTGCACAGAGCTAAGAATTCATCGAAGGTTTGATCTAAAAGGTTCATCTTTGGGACGCTCGGTGAACAAAGTTGAGATCGAGGAGAACACTATTCTTAAGGATCTCGATTTAAATTACTGCTTCTATTTAGAACCTTCGTGGCGCGACTCCCTCTTACAGTACGTGTTTCTGCTTTAAATTTATTTAGAAAAGAAAAAAAAAAATCTTTTGTGCAAACCAAAGGAAAATTTTTATAACATTCTTTTGTAATGTGTTGGATACTTATGATTCTTGCTGTTTTTGTTAAATTTGCAGGCAGATTGAAATTGATAGTAAATTTTTGGAATCACAACGGATAATGGACTATAGCCTCTTGCTCGGTGTTCATTACCGAGCACCTCAACATTTACGCTCCATGATTCCGTCATATAGTCATCGCATGCCGGTTGAGGGAGGGTTAGGAATTGTGGCCGAAGATGGTATGTTTCGCTTAGCTATCTGATTAATTAGCGACTAATCACGGGTGATTAGCCTATTTTTACTGAATTATCCTTTTATCTTATGACCCATAATAGTTACTTAGAACACTGTTTTAATATGTAGCCTTGAATTATTATATAATAAAAAAGCCACAAAACTACTGTAAGGCCTTGATTGGTTATAAATTATCTGGTTTTAACTCAAAATCTGATTTAAATTTAACTCAACACAACCCTCCTCGATATTAACAATATCATTAAATAATATGAATCAATCATCCTCACACATCACATCAATTTTAAATAACTATTCATCCACTCCCACTAACATAATTTTAACTATTCATCACTTCCAATCACATCTCTTCTACTTTTACATCAAATCCCACTCAAATCTCTAACCCAATCAACTTTTTTAAAACTAACTTTGGGTATCCAACAAATCCAAAATAACTTATATAAGCCTAGTCGAGTAATTCTCTGTCTTCAAAACTTCATCTTGGATAAATACTTGTTTTTTCTCGACCTCCGATTGTTGATATCCTCCGGTCTCTAGATGCCACGGAGGATGAAATATCTCCACAGGGGCTCGTCTTGGTGCCACGTGGCGCCGATGATAGTAGTGTTGTGGTGGGGTCGCATATAAGAGGCAGCCGGTTGAGGGCAACATCCTCCACTGGAGATGAGGAAGTTGATCTCCTTCTTCCTGGTACAGCAAGGTATTTTCACCATTAACCATGCCCACTTATCTTAATGTGTTGTTTATTTATAGGTTACTGTTTTTGTTTCTATTTCGACCGAGCTGTAGTTTAGTTGAGTTTCGAAATGAAGAAAATAAATATCGAGTAATTTTTTCGAAGTTTCGAAATTCCCTTGAACTACTATATGCAGACCTTGGTTGTTTGTTGGTATCTGCTTGATAAATGCAGCTAGTAACCATCCTCATCATGTGCAAAAATTGTGAGATGGTATGGAAAGAACAAACAAGGTTTACTTATGAAAAGTACCCTTGTAGTTTGAGCTAATTTCATAAACTACCCAGCTAACTATCAAGATTACAAAGATAGATCTGAGATTTTACTATTTTTTTTCTACATTTGCTCCATTGACTAGCAAAGACTTTAAGAACTCCCCTGAACTGCACATTTATTAAATCATTACAGTTTAACCTGTCTATTTCAAATTTTCAACACAAAATCAAGCTCAGGGTATTTTGGTATTTTTCAAGTTACCTGGGGTTGCTTTATAATTAGATCAAACTTCAAGGGTCAAGGCTACTTTTCGCAATGATCCCAATAACCAATACTAAGAATGTGATTTCCAATTTCACAAGAGAATTGTGGTCAGAAAATGATAATAGAATAAATTGAAGAGAGGTGGTTTTTGCAAACTTTTTTCTATAAATGTGAGTCGAACACACTTCGCATAGCTTGTTTCACGAAGATTCCAACTCAAAAGCTGTGATTCCTTTCCACAAGATCATACTACTGACAAGTTCTCCTTTTAATAATTTGTCTTTTCATTTTATTTTATAAAAGGCTCCAAATCCAGCTTGGCGTGAATATGCCCGCACGAGCCGAGCACATACCGGGAAAAGAAGCTTCCAAGATGTTTCACGAGGCGTACGATGTTGTCTTGTACTTGGGCATCATCGACATTTTGCAAGAGTACAATATGAGCAAGAAGATTGAGCATGCTTACAAGTCCTTTCAGTTCGACTCGGTCTCGATTTCGGCCGTGGACCCCACATTCTACTCCGAACGATTTCTCGAGTTCATTAAGAGGGTTTTCCCGCCAAACGCCGTGGCTGGTTAGACATAAAGCCTTTTCTAAAGTAATAGAATAGGCCCATGGAATTTGAATTTTGATTGGCTCCAACAGTTTTGTGTGGATGTAGCTATGTTTGCACATGTAATTATGAGGTTAACTGACTTTTTTTTTTCTTTGAAACAAAGGAGCCAAATCTTTAACATACTTGTTGACAATTCTCCTGTCATATTAACTGTCATAGTGCTAATAATGGACTAGATCAAAATGACTCAATTAAATTATAGTGCTTCTTCTATTAGTGAAGTTTTTAGAAAAAATATATCAAACGATGCAATGCACCTTGGGTCGCAACGGAAATAACCTCCTTGTATAATTACATGGGTAAGGTCTGCGTACAACTGACCATCCAGACTCCAACCGATTGGGAATATACTGGGTATGTTATTTATTTATGATATTTTTGTTCGGCAATGGTATCTACTATATCCAGTAATGCTCACCTACCCACAATGTTGTATGGTTGAAGCCTATTTTTTGCATCTAGTTTTCACTAATATGATTGTATGGTGTGGTTCAATGCTAAAACGAACTAATTTTTAATTTTTAACTTGTTTATGAATTATTTGTATTGTTCTATTTATACTGTCCTATTTTTGCACAATTTTTCGAAAATTATAATAAACATGTTACAGGACCTATATATGTCTAGCTGTCGATAGCCTAAATTGGTCCATGAAATCCCAATTCCAATAGTTGCAACAAAGGCCCGCCAAAAAGCCCATGTTTGCCAGCCCAGCAAAAGCTCCAAATTAGTAGCATTCTGTTGCTTTTCACGCATATAATGGAGTCATTTCTCTTGTCAGCCTTTTCATCTGCTTGCCTTTACAACAGTTCACTCAGTTTTCATGCCACTTAGACGATATTCATTTATCCTTCAATTCTTCCAACTATGAACTTATCAACAAGCTTGTGAGATGATGGGAGATTATCATTTAACGTGGTTAAAAAATCACAAAATCGAGACATGTGGCTGGTTAGTACATTTTAATGCGTCCACATTTGATATGTGAGCAATTACCACTGATTTTGTGTTCAATTTTCTTTTGTTTGGGTTATTCTCTATACGAGCACTATCCTGAAAACCGTGTTTATGGAAAATTTCCATGGAAGCACGTCAAATGTGTCCTTCATATTTTCCCGTGAATACTAGTGTTTCACTCGAATGATATTAAAAACAACCACCGAAGAACAATAATGCCAGTCAAACAGCCAAGGCACCTAATTTCTGAACAATATATGTATAAATCAAATGAGCTACCCCCACGATTAAAATCCCAATCATCTTCTACAAAATATATGTATAAACCAAATGATCCATGATCAACTTGCCTCAATTTGCAACTAACTTAAATCAAAAGATCCATGATCAACTTGCCTCGGTTTGCAACTAACTTCTTTCTTATTAAAAGTTAAGTTAACCTACTGATAAAGAAAGGCCAGCAGAGATTATATAATGGTAAAGGCCCAAGTTCAAAGTATAAAACCTTGTCGTAAGGATAGCTTTTACTTTTCTTGTATAGTACCCACAGCCTCCTCTAATATCTTCTTAGCTTCAGTCCCGATATCAGCAAATTCGACAGGGGTCTGCCAATATTACTCAAAATTATGAACAAAAGGGAAAAACAACATAACAATGGTGAGGTTCTCATTCACATACCTTCCCATAGATATTTGTCTTAGTAGGAGAAGCCCCATGAGCAAGCAACAGCTTAATGACATCGCTATATTCGCCTCTAGCAGCATGGTGAAGAGGCTGATAGAAGATATGGGGGAAAAAAAATTCTTTCTCAGATTGGACGGATAAAGGGGTGTATTCATTTGGGATTACTAAAGACTTTTTAAGATTTCAAAAATCGTGGTGTATTTAATTCTAACTTTTTTATGAGTTTTAAAAGTCTTATAAAATCCTTAGGTTTGAGACTAGGATTTGTTAAGACTTTTTAAGATTTGCAGGGATTTCAAAAAAGAAAAAAAAAA